ATCGTTAAATTAAAGACATGCATTGATCCTGCTTTCTCCCGTTTTAAAAGAGGAAATCTACATCCCTAGACTTTATTGCGCCACGACAAATAGACATTCTTACATTCATTTACAATTAGTAAACTCGATGGATAGAAGATACTTTATAAAGATACTTTTCATTTGCAAATTTTGGCGCCACTAGTAACAAATGTTATAATATTTATAAAGTACATGGGAGTTTTTTTAGAGTTTTTAGCACGGTGGATGGAAGATAATTTCGCCTCGCGTTGGAAAATGTTTCGGGAATTAAAGCTCGGGGATGTGGTACATCTCCGCGCAATGAAGCAGGCTAACTTTTTCTTTTTTTTTTTTTTTTTAATCTCAGCGTTGTTTTCGCACTTGGCAGCTTGAGCGTGGTAAAAGTTCGCGTTCGAACGCGATGTAAAGTATGGGAGAACTCTGCAAACACTGAAGAAAGTTTGTGCAGCGAAGATACATTTGGAAATACCATGGGAACTGGTACGTTTCGCAGGTATTTAACAATTAATAATAAATGACAATCGTTTTATTAATTCACGACGCGATGTTATTACATGTTTTAACAATTCATAACGTTCTATATTATGATAATTGAATGAATAATGATCCAATTATTTACACCTTAATACACCCATACTATGATTTACTAATTATTTAGTGCACATTTTAAATAATCTTTAATATTAATACGGACCATTTTCTGTACCACAGAAACAGAGTAAGTCATAATGTATAATTTCATTCAATTTTTATGCACCAACTATAAATTTCATCACTCTGTGTCCAGAATTCTGCTCGTCGTATTAAGATTCTTACGTGAAATGAATTTCTCTTTTACTTTGCAAAGCAATAGGGATTCATTGCCGTGTCAGCAAATAACGAACAAAAGTCCGACAATTTTGGGAAGCAAAGGATCACGCGAGAAAAGATGTCTTGTGTTTTCGTTTTGGCGTCTTTGTCGTCTTTCCACTTGAGAAATTGCTTTGCTTACGACGTATCGTTCGAGGAAGTACGCTTTGCAATAAGGAATTGATTTTCGGTGAAAAATCCAGCAAAAGTTTCACGAGCTGTTATTCATAGAGGGAACGTCATTCGTTATTACCCGATACGTGTTGAAAAGTCGTACGTACTTTCCGAAACGTTATAGCAGAGATATACGTTCTTACGTA